AAAAGCGGGCGGAGGATCTCAATTTTTAGGGCGTGTCTAGCCGCCTCCCGGCGCGAAGGGGTTAAGGGTAATGCACAATGGTACAAACTGTAGAAACAGAATAAGACTTCACTGGTAAGACTTGACATACCTGTGTTAGAGCTCCTGGCTGCCAGACAAATTCTCCCGGGATATCCGTGCAGCGGTAAGTACCAATCAAAGCCTGAACGCAAGATGTGAAAATAGAGTTTCATCGCTACGGTCATTTTTGGCACACTTTCTCAATGGAACCAGTGTATGACCACACTGTTTGGGACATACACATGACCATGTGTCAACTAGTCACTTGCATTTGATGTGTCTTCCAATACAGAGCTACCATTTCAATCCAGGAGCAAAGTAATAACTAAGCATATTGCTGCATTTGGCTTATTAGGAGTTAAAAGGGCATTTGTAAACCTTGGATGTTTGTCATGAATGTCACATGAAACAAGTGCAAGAAAAATGCATCTTCAGATCCAATTTACAATCCACACACTTCTGTGAGGGAGTGGCTTGGAAACAAGCTCCTGTGAGCTGTCCAAAACAGGGCTTTGAAGCCATCACTTTTGAGCGCTTTGAATTTTCCTCAGTTTCATAGTCAGCATCTGGAATCAAGAGCATTCTGTCTGCATCATTGGAACCATCTCCCTACCTTGCTGTCTGTCTGATCGCCCAGCTGCACCTTCAATAGGTGGGGTACCTTCTGCCGGCCCGTCACCTGGGCCAAGTGGTCTACGAGGGCACTCTTCCCACAGCCCACGGCGCCCTCAAGTAGCACGGCAGTGCCGGACGATACGGCCAGGGCCAGGCAGTGGAGGTTGTGGGCTGTGGACGGGACCCCGACGAGCGTGTGGGCAGGATCCTGCAACATTTTTGTGATTAAAAAATGATGAAAAGCTATGAATCCCGACTGGCAGAGTTTGACATTTGGACCTAACAGGTAGTTCTTGTACATTGGGTACAGAGAACACTTCATTGATTTTCATCTTAATGTGCACAAAATCTGGCATCTTGTTGGTACCTGGAATAGCAGCAATGACGCTCAAGTCTTTTCCTTTGTCATCACTGAGTGAGTACTTGTGCATTATGCACCCACATTCACCTTTGGCCATTCAAGTAGTTTGCACTCATGTATGAGATGCTGGCCTAATTACTAGCTCATTGGCACATAGAGCAGAATACAAATTATTTTCACCAGAATGTGTATAAAAGTAAGTCAAATTTTGGCACTTGACACGCAGCAGCATATTTGTTCAAATGTCCAAGATCTCTCTCCACCTTTGTCACCATCAGGCAAGGCAGATCTACATTGTCCAAGGAATCCATAAGTCTAAAACAATTCCAAAAATATCACCTGTTTTTCACAGCTGGTCCTCGCTGGTAACAATATCCCACACACTGCAGCAACAGACGAGCTCAGATCAGACCCAATCACCTCGTGCATTGTGTGTGTCAGCTTCTGCTGTCGAGCGAGGTCAAACATCACCTCTGGATTCAAAAGAAGACTGGCGCGGCAGGTTGCCATGTCAACGTGTCTGGCCTCCTCGTGCTTGAGGGTTAAATGTCTCAAGTCTTCTGGAGTGAAATGGCTGCTCAATAGAGACCGAGTCTGTTGGTCTGCCATGTCAGTCAGAGCGGCTACTATGTGTACAGAATCCCTGAAAGCCGCAAGCAAGAAACATATGAGTACCAACCCTGAACTGTCCTGATAATTTCTGCTAAGAACCAAACTTGAGCTATTTCAACTCCAGCAACAAGCTCCGTGCAAAGTCACAGTTCCATGGCTCCGGAGCACTGAATCACGAACAATCCAACAAAACCAATCCTGGGATTTTAGTAGATTTGGCCTGACAGATTTTCTGTTCAGGGTTTCTTCTGGCACACTGCTCAAAATATTAGAATCAAACAATCATTATGATTTAGATTTGCATTAAGATTTTTGTTTAATACTCAAGATCAGAAAAAAGCCAACAGAAGTTACCCACTGCATGATATTAAGGAAGGGATGTCATCATAAATTTTGTAACAAGACCCCTAAAACGATGAAGGGCACAGAAACAGATTTTCAACAGAGGTCCATCTGGAACTCTGTACAAGAATCCCGAGTGAAGTCAACAGCAGAGTACTATCTTACCATCTGACATCCAGGTCCTCGTGCTCAACCAACTTCATCACGGGACTCCAGTCCCAAAGGTCAACAAATGCCTCTCTGGAAAACCGGAGAAATCTGTGGCAGGTGGCCAGGACATCTGTCAGGGTTGGTGATGGGATAGATACCTCTGGCTTGTGCTTTTGTTTCTGGGAACCACAATTCAAATGTCAATAAATTACCAATAAATCTATTTGTGACTTGCTCTGACACACTGAGGGTCATGTAAACAAGTATCATGTTTCAAAGAAGAACTGATGGGGTCACATTCATTTGTTAGACACATCAAATTACAGTCATGCTACAATTTGTCTTTTGTTGTATTTTTGGCTCATCTCTGCAAGTATCAACATTTCAAATGCTTTTGTGACTCAACTCAAGTTGTAGAAATACTGGACTTTTCATATTGAGACATTGTGTTGATAAAATGTCAACCAGTCCAAGTAAAAAGGCTTGGGTTTTCTTTTGACAAAGAGGATCGAAGAGAATCAGGGGCATACTGCCTGTGTTTTTGAGCAAGCCATCATGAAACGATTCATCTCTTTTCATCAACAAATGAAACTTGTTCCTGCGGGTTTGGGTCCACTTCACACGCACCTAAAATCACGTATAAGCCTGCTGAACAGGGGTAACAATATGACACCTTGTGCAGCACAATCAATGCAGAAGTGCATTTTACTTTCCAATTTACTGACGGGTGAGCACAAAGTATGAGCAAGCTAACCTTTTTCTTCTTCTCTTTCGGTGGAAGTTTCCCGCAAAGCAACCGCTCAAATACCGGTGGAGCAGTCTGTAGGTATTTCATCAAAAACCTGGCGGGCACAATGTAATGGAAACCAAAGTCTGGGTTCCAGTTAATGTGCATGACCACTCATATTTCAACTGACAGTTTGAAAGTCATCAACGCATCATGGCATTCTGAAAATACAACAGCCTTTTGAAAAAATAAATTGTCACTCGGTGGACAGGTGTTGAAAACCTGCCTAACCCTACTGTGGATGTATCCTTTATGGTACAAATATTTCCCATTTATAGAAGATAACCCATGCTCAAAAATGATTAAAAAACAAAAAGGCTGCAACGCACCTAAAGGCATCTGGATGTCGCTCAAGGATCTTTCCCAGGGCCACGCACAGCCTCTCGTGCTCCTGCAAGCAAAAGCGCCCTCCTGTGGTCACTGTGTGTCCGGCCCTCTCCAAGAGATCCAGCAGGACAGGACGGAATGCTTCGGCTACGGGAATGGTGCATTGTGGGTGGAGAAGGTACTTTGAAAGAGTGGACAATAAATGCTGCCGATCACTGGGTGTCCAAATCTGTCAAGGTCAATAAGTTTCATGAAAATGAAATTTCTTTAACCTGGATTTATGAAAGATGTGCCATCAAATTTAATCAACCAAAGTTAATAAAAACATAATAACCACCAAATTTAGCATCATAAAGCCTCTTATAAACATGCTGCCTTTGGGATTGTACAAATACATGTATGTTCTTTGTCCTGTTTGTTTCATCACTTTTTTTCTATGGACTGAATAAAAATGAAAATGTTGATGTGGGCCTACATTTGTGATATTGCCCAAGTGACCGAGAATCACCAAAAGTGTGATATTTAAGTTAACATTAGTCCAAAGTTACTTCCTGAACAGTAAGGCAATACTCAGTAGGCCTTACTGGGTCCATCTTTTCGATGGTTCTGTGTGCTATGACATTTGAAAAGTGCCCTGCAATCGTAGGCGTAGGACCCCACAGTTTTGAAGGTAATAGTTGGGGCGTAACACCCTCACTATAAAACGAACGAACTAAAGTTAAGACAACATCTGGGAACCAAAAATTCAAGGTTCACTAGCCTCAGCCCACCTGTTTAGCAAGGAGTTCCTGACAGGTTGAAATTAATACAGGTTCCGCTACGGTGGAAACTAGCCTCCCCAAGCCTGCTGACACATCCCAACGAAATTCATTCATCTTTTTAACATGTCAGGCCTTCTCCTTAATAAATGAAACTCTCGTCTGCGTTACCACGTTAATTGTGCCGATACACTGCCAAAAATTCGCATGAAACTGACAGGAACATGTGGTCTGACGAGCAATGTAGTGTGGCGCAGGCAGTGAGCCAAATTGCAACACGCAAAACCCAATGCATTTTTCACACACGTGCAAACTAGGTCAAAGGTTGATTTAGTTCTGCCACTTGAGGGCGGGCTTGCCACCGAATGAGCGTTATCTAATGTTGGTCGACCGACGTAAACATGCGTTCGCCACCGTCCAAATGAAATGTCATGAATGTTGCTCATTTCTTTTCTTCACGTGAATTATTCCAGTTGTATTTCTATTAGCATTTGTAAAGCTGTTCAACAGAGAACTGTCCAAATACTAGATTAGAAGGCACAACAAATACCACGAACTTAAGTGTACTTGCTACGGTCGACGGTGCCGGCCGGTCGGCACCGGTGAAACTTGTTTGATGAATTGCATCACCGGTACGGTCACAGACAGTTGCCCGTAGAACACAGAGCTGCAGAATCGTCGGTGTCGGACATCGTCTGTTGTGTTAACTTCGCGGGATACTTTTTGTAGGTGGGAGCATGGTAAATTGACAAATTTGTTTGCACTGTTTTTCCAATTATTGCTAACAAATGAGATTAATGTGATTACATATAAATAAATGAAACAAGTTAGGCCTACCTAAAGAAGTGGAGCCTTATCTTTTCAAGCCTGGACAGTATGCAACTTTTCCTCAGATCAGCTGATTTCCTCATTTTTCACTTCGTACTCATGCCATTGAAAATTGAAAAACACTGTACAAAGTCTTGTAAAGATTGGAATTTCCTCTCTTTTGCATGTTTTGTCAAGTCCAAGTGCATGCTTGATCGATTAACTAAATGTGCCAAAAAGTTAAAATGAATAAGCATAGGTAGTCATGGTTATATAGCATTGTGTCCAATCTAAATCAAGCTTTGGGGAACAAAATAACACAATAAACATCAAATTGAAACAGCAAAAATTTAAGAAGTTTCTGTCGAACATAGCTACAAACTTGTTGATCAAGAAACCATTCATTCTTCAACTCTTATCTTTCCGCCAGGACTGAAGCACTTTCACCATGGCTCGTCTTGTGCATCTTGATATTCTCGAAAGGTGTCGGCCAGCATTTTCTCAAATTGTAGGCTGTAAGCTTCGAATGAAAGCCCACGATGGGGCCAGAATTAACTTAGTGAAGGTACATGTAAGTTTTACTTCGTTGTCTTATTTCATGAATTTCAAGTATACATTGCCGAAAAATTGAACTGTAATTTTCAAATGGATCATTCTATAAGTTAGGGGTCCAATTTTTTCATGTCCCTGTCACATCTGACTCATGATTTTGTAAGCTCAGAACAATTCATTAATTTCCATGAGTGATAAATTAATGCAAATTACCTGCCAAACAAATAGAAATAGTTTGCAATCAATTTCAGTGACATTTCCATGTCAAATTACACAGGTCAGGTGTAACAGGGACTCAAAAATGTCACACCTTTGGACCGTAAATTTATAGAATGACCCAAATACCTCAGGCAGTTAAAGAGTTTCGATTGATTGACAGTCTGTCCCTTGTTGGGGTTTCATACTTCCTGAGAGTCCTGGTCCAGTCATCACTAGATTCATGAATTTCTGGGCTAAATTAAACAGGGAGAGATGTACTGAGCTTTTGAACCTACATGTAATTTTATTTCATTGTAAAAGAGATGAATGCAGACGGTGAAGAATGATACAGGTTCTCCATTCCTTGTAAACTTGCGGACAACATTTCTCATTTATCTGGGACCATTTGCTTAAGCCTCTCTTAATAACTTTGTGTACAGAATGTCCTTGTGAAGCATCAGAGCACTGCTCCTGCAATTGGCAAGGCAGTTCGTTCCAGATGGCGGATTGTTCGACGGACGCTGGCAGGGATACTCCTCCTAGCTCCGATGGCTGGCTTGGGAGCCTATGCTGCACTGGACAGCACCAGCCGCCGAAAGGTCTATGTGACGGCTCAAGGCTTTGTCAGGTTTTTCAGGTTTGTAAACTTTTTCTCACATCTTGACAGTCTTTGCAAGTTTATCCATGGTTGGGGGGTCAGCTGAATGTATGCCCTCATTTCAGAAAGAATAGCAAACAAGTGACCACTTGCTTATTCACTTGGGCCAAGTATGTCCTCTTCAGAGCGAGTTTAGAAATGATTTATAAGCATGATTAAATGGGGTAATAATCCAGCATATGGATGGAATTTGTAACGTTGTTTACTCACCTCTTCAAGTTAACTTAGATTGTTACCAATCTGTTATGTAACAGACCTGCCCATAGGAAGGGATGCAGCACTAGTCATCAGCTTTATTTAGCGGATCGTGTGATTTCCAGCCACCGGCATATTGTATAGGAAGAGCGCAAGTCCCTGTTTCAGGGGTAAGGTTATTAGGTTGCACACCACAGGTACTGTGTTTGACTGTCTGTTTTCTTCTACCAAACCAGGACTTTCTATATTGGATCCTGCATCTCGCTGGACTACAAATGGAGCCTGTGGAATTTGGAGGAAGGGTCCGAGGAATATAAGAAGGCCTTCCGTGCCTGCAATGAGCGCACGGGAGACATGATTGTCCGAGGCTGCCTGAAGAACGGAGGCATGTACATCAAGCTGGGCCAGGTTCTGGTCACGGCCAACTACGTGCTGCCCAAGGAGATCTTGCTGAAGTTGTCGGTGCTACATGACAAGGCGCTGTCTCGGGAGTACAAAGAGGTGGGGTGGTTGGCCTTCTTAAGCAACAGTTTACCTTCCAGTTGTCTGAATTGAAGGCCATGTTGATTGCAGCAGATTGAGAAGTTTTTACAGATGGTTCTGTTACTGAAACAGTGTGTTATGTTGCCGAAGTGTTCTCTCAGTAATTAAGGGTGAAACTCCACTATTTTGATAACAGGAGCCAATTGCATGCTTTCTCAGTTGTGCACCCTCAGATAGATGTGTTCCATCATGCAATAGAACCAGTAATTTGTGTACATTCAATTGAATGTAGGGGTTGTGCACATTCAGTTGAAAGTGGTTGCAAGAGAAGTGTGCCATCACAGGATTCAGGGTAGAATGCAACTCTACTCAGATGACATTATCTGTTATTTTGGAAAGATGTTAATAGTTGATTTTCCCACCACAGCTGGACCAGTTGTTTCAGGAGGACTTCAACTGCAAGCCAGATGAGATGTTCAAGGAGTTTGACCCCAAGCCGATCGCTGCTGCAAGTCTGGCCCAGGTTCACAGGGCGGTCACTCATGACGATCAAGAAGTGGCCGTAAAGGTGAAGTAAAAACAAGCCTTGTGCTTTTTCCCTACAGCAAGGGGTTCTGTGTCGATTGATTTCGATAGTTGCAGGTGGAGCCCTTGCATAGTGATGGTCAGCTGAGGCCACAGTACTGTTTGGTAACCAACAGGGTTTTTACCAATCAAGCTGCTGATTGATCAGAGGAACCGCTAGACTTTAGGTCATAGCACTTTAAAAACAGCCAGTAAACTAGGTCAAGTTCAATCTTTGATGAGGGGCTCAAAAAGTCTTGGCAGGATTTTTCCCCACAGTCTCTCAGAAGCGACTGATCATGCATTGCTTGATGAATTATTCTGGCAAAGGGTAAACCAAGCTTTTAAGTGTCCATTCAGAGTTGAAATAGGGCCTCAACTTTACAATGATCAAGAAAGAACTTGGCATTTTGTAGTTTTAGGAAGTGAAAAGGGATGGAACAAACTACTTTTTTGCAGGTTCAGTACATCAACCTCAGAGATCAGTACAGTGGGGACTTCAAGACGTTACAGATCATGTTGGACCTAGTTCACTGGATGCACCCAAATACAATCAACTACAATGAAATTCTTAGTGTAAGTATTTAGATGTTCCGTTGTTCTATTGGAAATGAGCATGGTTAGTGCAAACTTGGAGATTTGAAGATCTCGTAAAAAATTGTCTTTACCATCAGGCAATTTACAATGAGCCTCTTTTGTTCTGAAGTATTTCATGAACCTGTATGTACCTCTCTGAGTACATCTAAGGCTTCACTATCCGCTCCGAGCAGAACAAAAGAGGGCGTGTTCTTTTGGTACTTACGGCATAGGCGCGCCATGAGGCGACCAAGTATATGCACGTTTGACACGAAGCACGCTGAGTATGTGTAACTAATTTATTCCGGCATGTATGGTCTTTGCGTACTCACAGAACGTGTGCAAGAACTCACTTGTAACCACCTGTCTTTCTTTTCGCTGATTGGGGGTGCACTTCAGCTTGGGGCAGATAGTTTTCTGAAGACGAAACAGTTAGAGCACAAGTGTGTTAGTGGGCTCGCTTGAATGGTTTACGTAAGAGAGTGAACCAATATCAATGTTTCACAGTAGCGGGCCTCCAAGGGTTTGCAACACATTGACTAATCACAAAGCACGAAATCTGTCGACCTTTTCCAAATGCACACTGGGTCAACACAATTCGCGCATTGTGATTGGTCAACGCACTGCAAACTCTTGGAAGCACACTCTTGTGAATAGTTAGTATTTACTCCTAAAAGAGTCAGGTTATTTTAGCCCATCTCACAGCCAAGAACTCAGCTGTCCTGTGCCAATTTTGGAAAACTTGGGGTGCATGTCGAGACACTCCTTATCAAAATAAATGTGACCAACATACGGTTTTGTAGTTCATGTGAAGTTCAGGGCCACATGTGCTAGCCAGTGTGCCTTGAGCAAGGCAGTGGTAAATTATACATTTTGGGCTGTCCAGTTTTGGAAAAACATGGGTGCAGCACGAGGACAGTGTGTTCAATTTTTACAAAAATGGAATGACAGCAAAGAGTTACTGGAAAAACTCTCAAAGCTCAGCTTGTGAAAAAAAGAACACTGCAGTGATATTGGAAGAAGTGTTGAGGGGCTGGTATCCTCCCCCCCTCTCTGGCTCTTCCAACCCGTTTTTTCTAACCTTCTCTTCTGTCGCTTTCATGCAGGATATGGAGGCGCCACTCGCAAAGGAGTTGGATTTTGAAAATGAGGGCCGTAACTCAGAGAGATGTGCCTCAAATCTGCAACACCTCAAGTACATTTATGTACCAAAAGTACACTGGAATTTAACAAGCAAGGTGCGTAGGAAGTGGAAGGCTTCAGAGCCTCCTTGTTTGATGCAAAGAGAGTCAAACACTGTGATTGAAAAATGGAACAGAGGTGGTCTTTTGATGTCAAGACAAAATTTACAACCGAGTAAAACCTCCCAGGTTCAGATGGGCAAGGTCTTAATATTTGCTGTCCCCATTACGAAACAGAGTTCTTACGGTGTGGACAGCAAAACTTTAAATTTTGTCGCTGGAAGTTTAAACCAGAGCCAGCAGTGGCAGAATGATTTTCAAAGTTGGGAGAGGTGGCCCAGTCACAAGACCATCAGATATCAGCCATTAATAGACCAATCCATAAAGCCCTGCCCCATTATACGACTTGTCAAAGTGGAGGGGCCTAGTCCCTCCTGGTTGGAAAATGTGTTGGGGGGTCACTGGCCCATGAGGGCCAGGCATTGACCAGAGCAACAAGCACACATATACATTGGCATGGGATCAGAGTATCTGTGATAGTATAGAGCTGGCTTTCAAGAGTATTAGTTCTTTACCTTTGAATCCTTTTGGTTGATTCTTCCTCAGAGAGTTTTGACGATGGAGTACATCGATGGCTGCAAAGTGACTGATATAGATCAGATTGAAGAGATGGGCATCACACCTGCAGATGTGAGTAAAATTAAAACACCTAGTCTGAGAGATGCATCAGATGGGGTGTCACTTAGAGTTACCGATTTGCGGAACAAAAAGCTCTTTTTCTTTGGCAGAGAAAGTTAGTGCGCAAGTAGGTTTGCAGTTCCATCATAAGACTGTCCTTGACTTGATTCCCTCGACAAAAATGCTAAAGAGGTATTTAAAACCAAGTGTTTGATGGCAAATGAAATGATTGGGTTTCATGGGAAGGACTAGCTATCAAATTGACAAACATTGTGTTCGTCCTTGTTAGGTTGATGCCAAGTTGATTGAGGCATTTGGTGAGCAGATCTTCCGCACTGGATTTGTGCATGCAGACCCTCATCCCGGAAACAGTAAGGCTCGGTCTTGAAATTCAGAATGAGCTAGTTCGGTATTCCAACAGAGCATGCCCAATGCGAGCATGCCAGTTGCCTGTGTATAGCTAGTTTAGTGTATGAGCTAAACTGGCTCATTTGTCTAACATGGTGGCCAATTACAAGTACATTGAAAATCTAAGGTTCAATACTGTAACAAATGAACGTGGAAAGAACTTTGAGTAAGTTTTAGAACCATAGTAGATCAGTATTGTAGTTCCGTTTTTCATTGTATTTAGAATCCTGTTGTTTGGTGTTTGCCTGTCTTATTCCAGTAGAGAAAATTAAGTTTTGATCCAATTTCCCCCCAGTTTTTGTGAGAAGGGCATCCAATGGGAAAGCAGAGCTTGTTCTTTTGGATCATGGATTGTATGAAGAATTGCCAGCAAAGTAAGCACTATCAAATTTCACCAAGAATTCCTCTAAATGGAGACTTGGGAAGCCTGTAGAGTAGGTTACAAACAGTTAGCCGAATGTTATAATCAAGAGCTAAAGATCTGTTTGACTTCTGAGAGATAAGAAATTAACAGTGGCTAAGGTCCTCTTCTCTTCAATGTCCATCTCAATTCTTAGAGATTAAAGGCGGTTCAGGAAGGCTGCCAAGGTTACTGTCAACTTGTCATCCTACCAAATTGTTTGCCAGATCGAAACGTTTAGTTCAAAATGGCAGCACAGTGATTAAAGTTGGTCTCAGTGTGATTGGGTTCTTTTACTTGTTCATCTACTTACCAGCGTAAAGCATTATTGGTCCACAGTCAGATGCAGGTTAATACTGTGGTGTTTCTTGTATTTTGCTCCAGGGACTTGGGTTCGAATCTCACCCAAGCTGGCAAGGACTTTTTTCAGTCCCTACATGATTTGTATCAATTTGCTGCTGAACATCTATCTGTAATAGTCCTCCTATTACAACTAGTGGCATTGTGTAAACAGGTTTCCTTTGTCGGTTACTTTTCCACAGGGTACGGCTAGCCTTGGGCAGGTTCTGGCGATCTGTCATCTTGAAAGATGAACCAATCATGAAGCAGAGTGCTGCTGACATGGGGGTCAAAGGTAAAAGGTCAAATTCAAAGATTCTGCACTGGTATGGACAGATATGGGGGCTTTGTGCACTTTGGTGACAAAAATGTAAGACTTGACTGACATTTCAATGTCCATGTGGAGATTCTAAGGGTTTACATACTATCAGATCATGCCTCTCTGTGTGAGGTTCGACTTTTGCAAAGGCATAACTTAAAACGAGACCTCGGGTGCTTGGAGACTGCAGCTGCATTCAGTTTGGAAAAGTTGAATGTTGAAGAATGTCAGGCCAGTTCAAGCACGTCCAGTACCTGCGAGTTGGTGTACAGCCATACTTGTACAGATCTCTCTTGGAGGGCAGTGTCTTTGTAGGAAAATTGCAATGGCAGGTTCAGTGCCACCAGGTGCATGTATGAGCTGTGTGGCAGTGTTTTGTATACGCACCTGTTGATCTAAATGATTTCCAAATAAGGCACAGCTGGTGCATGTCATGATATTTGACTTCCAAAATGCTGATGCACTTGGCAATCTGTAGGAAGTAACGTCATCTGAGAGACCCATAGGGCCGACTTTGCATGTTTGTATTGATGCCCTGCAACGACCTCCAACCTGCTTCAGTTTGTGTGTGAGTGATAGGATTACCAAACTCATTCGTGGACATGTACTATCTGACCCAGAACACTTACCTTGAGATGACCTCCTTTCCAGAGTACCTGCTTTTTGGGATGATGATAACGCAGCGTCCAATCAACATGAAGGCCCGGCGGGGGCTGCACATGACCTTCATCGTGCCGCCAGAGGAGCTGCGCAAGATGGCCGAGCAGTTCCACAAGATGAGCCAGAGCCAGGCGGAGATGATGATGGCTAGGCTTAACGACTTTGTCCTGTCACTGCCCAAATCATTGTACTTAATTCTCAGGTATGAAGCCACATCCTAATCACAGGCCTGTGGCTGTGGCTTTGGCTGCACATGAGACTGGGTATAAAATAGAACCCACAAGCCCTCGGTTTTAAGAACTATGAAGGAGGACGGAATGGTAAGGGATTGGTTTGCAAGTAATAAGGGATATGTTTGGGGATAATACAAATCAATGCTAGCCTAAGGCTGCATCCAAACCAGCTGTCTAGAGCTAGGTCCATGTCGGTGCCCATAGAAAATACGCAAGGGACACGCTGACAATAGATGCAGCCGTAGCTCTAGAAACTTGTTTCCCACGCAGCCATAGTTCGAGAACATCTGACTAGAGATGGTCATGCAATTAACTTGAAAGGTATTCCATGATCTCACGATGAAAATCTGAGTTAAAAACTGACACAGAAATCCTCTCACAAGGAAACCTGCTTCACAGCATGCCTAAAAACAGTACCAAGAACAACCTCACACTGAACTTCTGGAAATCTTGCCAAATACTCCCAATCTTCTTTCTCATATTTTCTCACTTAACCCTATTTTCTCACTGATTAGAACAAGGCAGATACGGCAATTTTATATAACTCTGACAACTGTTTTCTTTTCCTGTCAGGAATATGAACACGGTTCGCTCCATTGATCGCACGTTTGGCCAACCAGTGAACTACCTGGTGACAATGGGCAGATGGTACGTTTCTTAGACTATCTCAGAGACCCCAGTTTTGCGGAAATGATGGGGTACCAAGTACTAAATCAAACACAACCGATAACCTCACAGTAATTTCAAAGTCATTGGCCAATGTTGGTCAAAGAATGGTTGGGTGTACCGAGGTTCTGCACAGTATCAATTTGGTGCTGCCTCTTAATGAGGGTAGCTGGGTTTTAGTGTGAAGATGAGGGCCTTGCAAGCTCAGCGGAACTTTCCTGATTGTACTAGTGCCTCAGTAGTTGAGGTCTACATCTCACCTAAATCTTCTACATGTAGTACAGAGGCTTTGCATGGTAGCCATCTTGTAGGGTAATTCTTTTGTCTCAATGTGGAACAGAAGCACTGGCCTGCAAGATGGCAGCCATGGAAACCCTCTATTTTGGGTCTCAGTCCACTCGTTTGCTTTTCTGAAGAAGTGCAACCATAAAGAAGTGATGCAATCAAAAATTGTAAGAGTGATAAAGTTTGGATTGGCTCTCCTCAGTGCTGCAGGTTCCATGTTTTTTGAGTCCCAGGACAGAACTCTTGCCGGCAGAGTGCGGGCATCCTGGTATCAATTCATCTACGATTTCACCCTCAGGTAAGTTGAAATTTGAGTAGAAAGTTGCTTTGGATGAAAATAATGCTCATCCAGTTTCATGGATGTGTTTACGATATGCGAGTTTGTTTCTGCATTCAATTGGGGACCCTGAACAATAGAGGACAATAAGGTCCCCGATTGACAGAGGGTTCTCGATTGACAACTGTGTACAAAACATATGGGTGGTCTTCTAAAAAAGTACAAACAAAAGAGGAACAATAGGGGGTCCCCAGTTGCAGGCAAATACACACTTGTGTGTGTGTGTGTATTCTGGTTGGGAATGACTTTTGCTCTCTTATGCTCCTGAGCAAAGTACTTTATCACAACATGTTCTCTTGAATCTCTGATGGGGCAGAGTCTGCAAAGGCAGAGAATCTTTTATCAACCATAGCCATACTGAATCCCCCCCAACAGGTGGAGGGTTTAAATAAATACACAGCCTTAATCCCCAGCCATTTGGTTTATCTAACCCGGGCAGATCAGATCAAGTCCTAAATTCCCTGACAAGTTTCATCATGCGTGTGATGCTTCGACTGGGCTGGAAAGTACCCACAAAACCAGCAGGCAGTGCACACGGCATAATGGACAGTCTCCAACCTGTCTCCTGATTCAGGCAACTGCCACGTAAACTTTTTACCTCAATTCTATTGTTTTCACATTAGGCCACGGTAACTTGTAATTGTAAAATATACGTAATTGTACATCTTATCACTGTAATATATTTAGAAGCCTCGTGATATTGTTTTTAGTCGAAAACCATCACCACGAGAGTAATGTTGCTGCCCAGTATGACCTGAAGTTACTCGTGTGCAATGATGTGCCTTCCTTTTTGTGCCATCAATATAGTGTATAGATATTTTTTAATCATTTTCTAATATATATTCATACTCTGAGTGTATTCTTAGGAGGAAAGCCTGACTTTGCAGTGTAAAATCAATTTCTGACATTTGACAAGGACTGAATATCCCTGTGCACTGGCTACCAGATAGTTCTACAAGTATTTGATAGATATAATAGACTGATCCAGTGAGCCCCGCCTACTGAGGACATCAGCACTTTAGCATATGCCTTTTCCCAGTGCCACACTATGTATTCCAGCCGCATGCTTCATATACATATGCACGCATGTCAAACTTTTGTGCATGCATATTGGACATTAATCAGGACTTTGATTGGTCAGAAAACGAGGGGGTGTGGCTTAATGGAGCAGCCTATTTTTTCATCGGGAGATGTGCGTTTCTATCCAGGGAGTCCCTGCCCTTCACCAACTTGGCTGTTGACTTGAACCAGCCAGCCAATCACAGTAAGCTCCATGAGTGAATGGTAAGACATCCAGCACTACTAAAGCAGGGGATGGAGGATTCACTTCCTCCCTGAGTGAGCTGGTAAATTCTTGTCACAAGTCTTTGGACGACATTGGGTATACAGTGTTTGTAAATGTGAGTCAGTGAAAGGCAAAGCATCCAGAACTGAAATTAGTTCAAAACTGATGTAAAATCAGCAAACGTGAAATGGAAATAAATGAAAGTAAACAACATCAAAATGAACTGAAAATCAACAAAAAGTATCAATGCGTGCTTTTTTTTATTAGCTTCCACAGAAACAGCAAACAAACCAAATAGTCAAAAACCTGTCCCTCTTACTAAATTAAAACCCACATTCAGAATTGTTATTTCATTAATGCTAGAAAGGAAATTCTGTTATTGGCATAACCAGAACAAGTATCGTTTTGTCGAGCATATCCATTGCACAGACAGTTTTGGCATGTTACCAAAATGTAATCCAATTGAAAAACAAAACTTCACTTTTGACCCAGACAATAAGAAAAATATATTAAAAAATATTCTGAATAAGGCACAAATCAAGGGTGTGCTGTGTTGGAGCATGCAGAACTGATTGTGCCGACGTGATGTTGACAGAACTTTCAAATTTTCTAACAGGAAAAAAAAAATGAATTTCATAACTCAATGTATAATTTCTACAAGCTGACAACAAGGTTACTTTTACTGACAGAAATAACAACCTGTTGCTACATGTACTTAAGTGACAATACCACTGAACAGTGGAGAACGGTTGTCATTGGAAAACCAATACCAACAAATGTACCATGCTGTGTTGACATCAGAAATTACGTGTATGCTTGTGGGTCATTTCAAGATCTTGTTTGACGCAACACCAAGAGAATCCAAGTTTTAAAAAAAACGAAAATTCCTGAAACTATGAGCAACACAAAACTGTGTCCTTCAACCAATTTAAAAGTTAAAATCATTGATTAATTCGCATTGTTAAATAAAGCCCTTCTCTTCTATGTTAACGGTGCCCCTAAAGTGAACCATGAACTTCAACTAATGACAAAAATGGTAATAAAATTGACTAAAGAGGGGGAAGGTATTATTTTTCTTTTCTAGGCTCAGGGTAAGGAAGGTCAATAGACTCCCGGAAATATCACTGGACCAAATGGTCCGAATGGTGTGTGAACAGTGTCATCAGGGTGTAGGGAAGTGAAAATTGGAGGAACGTGTAACAGAGGGCTTGAACTTCGAGAAAAGTGAGCTGCAAATGAGCTCAGTTTCATTGGAATCACCAGAACTTTGTAATCATGTTAATAACTGAATTAAACTAGGATCAACTATGATTTTAAAACAATTAACCCAAACCATGTTTTTGTCATGTGAGTTCAAATCGCATCTCCTCTCTTGAGTCGTCCAAGGCCCAGGGTGCTGTGGAATAAGTAGAAAATAAGAGAAAATATGCCAGAAATGGACACGTCATAGCAATTTGGGGCTCAACATGATTTGTCCGTTCCCTCTTCAGTGTCTGTATATGTCTGATGTTAAGCAACCGTAACCTCATGTGTGCTTAACAGATTCTCTGCGAATTTATTTTGTAAACGAGAAGAAACAATAAGCCAGTCCTAAATCAAGTGTTTTCCAACAGTGTGTGCCAACAGTGAAATCGGGGGTCGTTTAAGAACAGCAACACATATGTGCATGATGGCCCTAACAGCACAGCCATGCTCTGACTTATGTGTATACGCGCTGAACATGTTCAAAGCTTAAGTGCCTTGTTTTCAACCAACCGTGCCTTTTTGAAATATCAAGCCGACTCATTTGTCAAACCCCCGATTGGCCTGCTGCATGAAGGATATCAGTTACGCTTAAACGTTGGGACTCACAGTGAGGCGAAGAGGGCAAGCAGGAGTACAAGTGTCTTGCTCCTAAATCAGTGATGTGGTGCGAGTGCATACCTCTTAAGGAGTCCTGGCTAGCAACTGAAACCACTTCCTATAGGCATGTGTGCTAATGTTAGCCAAAGTCAAAACTGCTTCCCATAGGCGTGTGTGCTAATGTTAGCCAAAGTCAAAACTGCTTCCCATAGGCGTGTGTGCTAATGTTAGCCAAAATCAAAACCGCTTCCCATAGGCGTGTCTGCTAATGTTAGCCAAAGTCAAAACAACTTCCCATAGGCATGTGTGCTAATGTTAGCCAAAGTCAAAACCACTTCCCATAGGCGTGTGTTAATGCTAGTCAAAGCCAAAACCTTTAGGACACAATCTAAGATTCTGTGTGTGGTGTGTGGATACTCTCAACATATCTCCCAATAGTCTGTCAAAGTGAAATGAGAAAACTCAAAACCTGAGAAAAGAATTGAGCGATGTCTTATACCATACCTGTGCCAAGCTTATCGCTGGGAGTTGGTTTGGATGCACCTGTAGGTGATTTCCAGGTATTCCTTAGTTTCCTGGATGGGATCTCCAAAGTCTGGTCCTCTGAGAGAGCAGAATGGCTGCAGAGATCGGCACTGGTTGCGAGCTTTTTCAAGTGCACTCAAATCCGATTGGTCTGCTGCTGGTGCTCCCTCATCGCCCAAGCAGTAGTCATCGCCGGCGCGGCGTCCAAAGAAGACTTCATCTATGACAATCCCCTGGTTAAGGCTGCATGCCAGGGCCAGGGAGCGGTCCTGACAGACTCGCACGGTGAAGGGCTTGGGGACCACCTCGTGGGCCATCGGCTTGTGGGTGCAGGCAAAGCGGACGAAGAGGTAGTTCAGTTCACCAAAGCAGGGCTCGCCAAAGGCTTGGATGCTGGTCGTGTCCAGCTGGCACTGGCCGCGGCCCTGGCACAGGTTGCGCAGGACTGGCAGGGTGACGGGGGACTGGCAGGTGTCCAGGGCATCTGACTCCAGGCAGACCTCGTCCACGCGGGGACCAAAGCTGGCTTCCAGGATGTCGATGAATCCTGCCCCGCAGTCGATGTTGGAGCACTCCAGCTGCAACTGAGATCTGACCAGGATCTGCGGGATCGGTATGGCTGATGGACAGATGAACAGAAAAAAAATGAAATTTGATGACCGTATAATTTGATCGACCACCAGGATAAGAAGCCATCACTGTGGCAGCACAATGTTTGTGGACAGGTGGTATGGACAGGCGGCAGGCCAGCACAATTATTGCATCTAATTGGATCAGTCTATGCCAAGAATTGCTACAAATGCCAAGAATTTACCAAGTTGAATGCTTACCCATTTATACTCAACAGTTGTTTCAAACCAACCTTTACAACAAATAGCCCTGTAAACCTTCCACGGTAAAAAGCATCAGTGTTACAGGGTAAGAATGAGGGTAGGCCCAGAACCAACTGTTCTCGGGGGGCACCTCAGAATTTGGAAATTTCTCTAGTTCTGAAAGGCAAGGTTAAATTCTGGGACCTTTACACACTTTTCGAAGAGAATTGAAACAGTCTCACAAAAATGGCCCTTTCCTCATTATTTTTCCCAAATAAAAATTGTCATACTTTTCAGGGATCATGACCTCCCCCTCCCCTCCTGCTTCCATTTAAGTGAGAACATAACGAGCCATGAAACCTTTAAAACTGCCTGGCATACCATGACAGGAGTTCAATTCGGTGTCGCGGAAATAACCCTCCTCGCACTCGCAGGCCGGCGCATTGTCTCTGGTGCCACAGACTTCGTGAAGGGGACACTTGTACTGCGTGCATATGAGGTTGTCGGCCGTCGGGCAATGACAGACTCTGTTGCAATCCGGGGACATGAACGATTCACCTTGCTGCTCACCACACAGATAAGAGGAAAGGCAGTTGAGCAAAATAAAGTAGAACTTCCACGCACTGATGGCAAGTAAAATATACCCGCTCAACCATGTCAACCTGGCATTCGTCAGAGCTGGGAGTTGGACTGGCGCATTCCAACTCTCAGCTCGGATGGAGGCTAGTCGAGCCCAAAATCCAGCTCCTTACATTTTCGGGTCAACCGCTGCTGTGCCTTATTTTGCCCTACTCACTGAAAAGCCTTAAGTGTGTAAAGGGAACGGAAAAGTGGTGACCCAAGCTACAGCACAACTTTCAGCGTAAGGAAATGAAAGTGTTATTGACTGCCATAAAAATAATTTAACCCAACGCAAGACGCCAGACCAACTTTTTGAGTTCAACGCCTTCAGTTGTTTGATAGACCTCTCCAACTCGGAAAGAGCTGCAACATGAGTATCTCAGTTGCTGGAACCAAAATGGTGAATTATATGCATCAGTGCACACGCACAATTAGAACACGATAGCGACATGCTGCACTGCACACATAACGAACTGCCATTTCAGTTCAAAAGTCTGAAGTTGGCGCTACTCTCTCTGTATACATTTCTGCCCCAGTCAGCAAGACCTCACCTTGTAGTAGAAGCCGGTCTCTTTGTCCGTGCAGCCGCACTTCTCCTCGTCGATGCAGGTTTCCCCTTCCTTCATCATTCCTGGCGGGCAGACGCAGTCCTCCCGGTCAGCCTCGTTACAGGTGGAGCTGGCCAGGGGGTTGGCACAGGTGGTTGGGCAGGCGGGGCTAAGGGGGTTGTAGATCATATTCCTGGCCAGGCAGTCAATAACTACAGAGAAAGAGGGAGAGACGGGAGAGGAAGGGTATGAAAAATTAGCCTCAAATCTAAGAGGTAGAGGACACAAGGGCCAGTTTATTTACCAGAGACCAGTGGTGCATCCCGTGTGGGGGGGGGAAGGCAGGGCAACCTGAACCCCCCCCCCGACTGATTTTTTTTAAAACTTTTTTATATTTATGTATCCAATATTTATTTATATTTATGAAATAACGCACCAGAACCCTAAGAAAAGATCCAGAAATAAAAGCAAGGATGGCGGGACCGTGAGTAGGGCTCAGATGTTTTTCTCCTCAAACATCATGTTGAATAAGCCCGAAGCCAAATTTGCTTCTGAATCCCACGCCCCACACAAAAAGCAGGATACACCGTTGCTAGCATTGTCACAACATAACCTCTTCTTCAGTGTTGAGGTGATTAAGTGGATTGAAGCCAGTGTGATTCCTGTTTCTATTACAAAACAATGTCCGTTTCTATCTTAAAACTGGCAGGTGGCTTTTTTTCAAGGGGAGGGGGGAAGCATTACTTCAAAGAGAAGGAAATATCGGAAGGGGGATGAAGGCACTCATATTCAGCAAACCGACAAATAATAAGCGGTAAATTCTGAGATATCTTCAAGCAATTTAAATCAATGATTCTCAGCCCTGTCCACCCCTTTTTTTGTTTCTGTTCCTTTGCTTTTTCTTTTTTGCATCCCTCCTCCTGGTCTCTGCTCATGTTGTCGGAGGCACTCACAGCAGAAGTCTTGCCGTCGCCAGCTAATGATGATGTTGTACTTCCGGCACTCCTCAGCGTAGGCCTGGTAATCATCGCAGTGAGCCAGGCCATCTGGCATGGTGCAGCGATCCATCACACAGCTCTGGTAGTAGAATGACGGTGACACCATTTCATGACAGGCGATGAAGGGGCCTGGGTAGAGCAGCGAAAAAATAGAGAGCAAAAAATCAGCCATTATTGAAAAAAAGGGAAGCTTCCCACCTAAAAAAAAAAAAACAGAAGAAACTTTTAGCTTTTTAATCATCGTTATTTCTAATAGCTATGAAAGCCACTTGGTTGCATGAATGCAACTTCTAGGATTCGCAGCATAAAGGATTGGTAACTAGAATGAGGAAAGTCACAGTCGAGGCTTTCATCGTTTTCTTGGGCCGGGAGTAACCTTATACAAGTGATAATTGGCCTAGGATTACACCAACTCTTAAGCCGCCTATCGAGCCATCCTGAAAAACTCTGGTGCAGCCTGAAAAGTCTGAATTTTATATGTATTTTGTGTCTTGACTCCTTACTTTCAATTGTCTGCTCTTAATACGACTAAGAATCATGAGCAGTAGGCACAGCGTCACTTTGTGGCAGACAGTGCATACGTATCGTGTATATTTTGCCGCGCCGTTGTTGACATGCGTAGGAAGCTAACACATACAGCCTCGTTTTCAAACGGAGAAAGTGCGCAGATCGATGCTAAGCACGTCGCATTGGGGTCCCTCTATAACCTGATAAAATACTGTCATGAGTTCCTTAACCATCTGCCTCAGCTTAAGGCTGCGTTTGACAAGCATGATTTGACATAACGTTTACCATCTTCGTTGATAATGTCAAAACAGATCTCCTGCGCCGCATCCTTGACTCCAGCATCATCGCAGGGATCTGGGAGTTCGCAGTCCTCGCAGTCTTCGCAACCGCTCTTAGGAATGTTCCAGGACCTTGCAAATGGCACGATATTGGCCGTGGTGTTGTCCAGCTGATAGACAAAACGTGAAAATGCACTGTTATGAGGAAGCTGACCCCAACTCGCAACAGTAATGATAATGCATAAAGCTTACATGACTTTGATATCCAATATATATTTAAAGTGCTCAACAATTGCTACCCCTGTTTTCGGTGGGCCAGTAACCCACTGTACCCTCACAGGTGCCCGTTCAAACTCCAACGGAGAAAAGGGCAATCGCAGTAAAGTGTCTTGCCTAGTAACACAAGCAATACATGGGGTTCAAACCTACAAGTCCAAAATACAAGAACCACTACACACTTGCTTCGGACAGGTAGTATTCCAGGGCGAATTTGAGACATGCCTTAATCTCATATCTCAACATATGAGTTACATAAATCACACTCTTAAGCCACACATATCTACCATTAACATTTCAGTCTTTCTGCTAACAAATACTGAAATTTCTTCTGAACGTGGATGTTAGCAGTTAGTGCTCCCTCTGCATTTCTTTTCTTCTTTTACCGATGGACTTTAACAAAAATTAATCACATTAAGTTTCCTCTATTTTCTCTTATTACATTGTATTTATGCCTCGTTTTTATTTTACGTGTATTCTTTGATTTGTATTTTAATGAAAGTATGGAAATAAATCTTATTTTTGAATTGAATTGAATTAATCTGGATAAGCAGAAGGGTGTGGGTTCAAATCCTACCCAATCCAGCCTGTGATTTTTTGGGGGGTGACACATGGACCACACTGAGAAAACAGAACCAAGTCAGAAAAGGCAAAACCTATTATAAAATCTCTTCAGCTCCTCATTCTTAACTAGGTGTGCGTGTTATTATTTCAATATTCTCTCCGCTGAAAAAAATAATGGCTGAAATATAAATGAGGAAAAAAACTGAGTAAACTTGACACAAGTTTCAGGCTGTTTACAGTTGATTCACATTCTCAGAAAGTGTAACAATAATTTATGAATGATAATGGCATTCAAAGCAGGAGCTCGTGCTCACTTATGATGCAGCAAGAGTTAATAGACCCCTCGCAGCTGGTACTTGGTTCTGGTTACTTTAAGATGGCAGGGGACCATTGAAAAACCAAGAAGTGCAGTCCGTCTATAGAGGCTTTGTACGGCAGCCATCTTGCTGGGCTTTTCTGTTGTTCACAAGAAAATCCCCTCTATGCACAACTGTGGAGCAAAAGCACAGGCCTGCAAGATGACAGCCGTGCAAGCCCTCTATTTACCGTTTCTCCAAAGCGGGTGAGGAAATCGTTGAATGGATCACCATCGTATGGGCCACAGAGACCCTCTGTGTGGCCGTAGTACTCGCCGGTGACGTCAACTTCCACCATGAATTTGCCGTCCCAGCGAATGACTATCCCAACATCAGTCTCAATCACCTAGTTTTAAAGGGGGTGTAGTGGTGCGCAAATAAGAAGTGTTTCATATTTATGGATAATTGATCACTTCAGGCAGGACGGTGTAGAAACACTTTCTGGCTATCTGTACAAAGTTCAGTGACATAACTAAAGGTTGGGGGTATGAGAGACAGGGACCCCCCAATCAGGGCCTGTAGCCCCACCCCCCTTGGAAATTAAAGAAACAAACGGTTGATAGTCTGTTTTGGCCAGTGTTTTTACTGTGACTGAAACCCATTGAATGAAACCTTCCAGAAAATGAAGGACGTCCAATAAGGGCCTCCCCCGGCAAATTATAACTCAACTTCGCGATGGAAATCAAATGAGAAATATACAAGAAAATGACTGGCAATGATGTGGAGGGGGTACTGATTACAAGAGACAAGCTTGCCCCGTGACTTGGCCGAGATGGGTAGGGAAGGCATTGTTCGGCTTACCACATCCGGGTAGTTCACGCTGACTTTCAACCCAGGCTCATCCAGACCCTCAGACTGCATGTTGTCGATGAGGGTCTTGCCGCCGTACTTGAGATTGATGACCTGTCGGCGGAGGTCAAGCAAAGGAAGAACTGGTTCACTGATGGGAAACGTGGCTCCGGATACCAGTTGGACAGGGAATACTGTGGCAACCTTTTTGCCATTTGCACACAGTAACGGTAACGTACCTTTCTACAACATGATCTTATCTAGGGTCTCAAATTGAAAAAGCTCCTGAAGGGCCTATTTACACAGACGAGTGAGAACAGAAAGTACTGACAGGAAGCAATTTGCCATTTGACATTTTGCATTTTTGCATTTTGCATTTTGCCAAATCTCTGAAAAACACCACAGTTTATCACCCTATGCCTCCCGGTTTGACGGAACTCAGTGAATTGTGGTACCATAGGAAGCCACTGATGAGTTCAGTGCTTTGGCAGTGCTGGAATGGTACTGATTCTCAACTGAGTAAACAGACCTCAGTGAGTGAAAAAGTTCACACTCGGTATCCAAACAAGAAGTAATTATATTTCTTGGTGAAAAACTGTGTTGAGATAACAATCCCAGAATTTGGGGGGGCTCAAAACACGACTGGATGAGGACAGTGATGCATTTTGACAATTTTAAACATCCTAAATGTCAAGGGGGGAAGCAAGAATTGGACACCCACGCGACCATTGAAGTGGAACTCGACTTGGACCGTGGAGGACATTCTCGGATTGCGCCGGGCAGCCTCGTTGTAGACAATGACTTCAAAGTCGGGCACTTCGGCATCGGCGTTCTTGACCAGGGTGTACTTGCAGGCACCCATGAAGCTGTACTTGTAGCCGTCAAAGGTGATGTAATGGGGATCTCCGAGAGCCGTGCAGGTGGCCTCGCCTGGTGTTTCCAAGGAGTGTACAAAGGAAGGAGTTAGCAGGCTTAGTGGCAATCAGACTGCCTTGCAAGATGTCAATTAAGATATTGACAACACCCACATTTCCCAAAACCCGCTAATCTGTTAACCTTGTCAAGACCCCACAGAGATTCTTACAAGATCCCATAAAACCATCACAAGAGCAACTCAAGATCTCCAGTGTTGAGTTCAAGGCACAAGCTATTCAAATGAACTGCAGCAAAAGGACTCCTTTGTTACGGTTCACTCTGATACTTGTGACTGTCTTGTGACTGGCCTTATCAGTAGTCTTGTAACTGACGTCGAGTATGGTATTGTGTTTTGCCTTGTGACTGGCCCTCTAAATGTTCTTGTGCCTGGCATTGTGACTGGCCTTGTTTCTGGTCTTGTGACCAGTCTTGGGACTGGCTTTGCGAGTGGCCTTGTATTAAACTGGTCTTGCAACAGGTCTTGAGAACATCTAGTGACTGGTCTTGTGACTGGTTTTGTGTCTGGTCTTGTGATTGGTCTTGTCACTGGTCTTGTGACTGGTCTTGCATCATGTCTTGTGTCTGGCCTTGTGAATGTCTTGCGTCTGGTCTTGTGACTGGTCTTGCATCTTGTCTTACGTCTGGTCTTGTGACTGGTCTTGCATCTGGTCTTGTGAATGGTCACCAAGAGCAATCCATGCACCTATTTATACACCCATGGAAGGACAAGGCAAAAACAGCATACCCCATTTGATTTAGCCCTGGGTTGTTCCCTGGGAAATTGAGGATAAATGGCTCACCAATGTCGCAGTGCTGTCCAGTGTAACCAGTGTCACACTTGCAGTTGTACTTGGGCTCGATGCTGATGGCCTCGCAGGTGCCGTGGATGCAGGGACTGGGATCGCACTTGTTCTCCTCTAGCTCTCTGGGATCAGGGCTCTCTTCGCATCGGTAGTGAATCTACAGGTTGAGGCAAGGGGGGAGGTTGGTTATAACCGACTTTGGCATGGTCAAAGTGACTTGTGAACTGACAAAGTTGACCAAGGTATTTTTGCAAAATCTTGGCCACAATTCCCCCACTGACTCCAACTCGAGTCATCCGTGATCGGTTTCAAACATTAGCAAGCAGAACCAATTTTAGAATACTTTTATGTTTATTACCACTTTAATGAGGGTAACCCATCCAGTGAATGCTGATTATTTCAGGCGCTCACAACTGAAGACAATGAAGAAATGTCTCATTTTAGAGGAGTAGGTGGAACAGTTTGGATAACTCTATTCAGGGAAACGCACAGAATCA